ATTTATAGCGACACAGTCCACAGGCTAGGCATCCCACAGGTAGTGTAGCCTATAAATTGAGGCACAGAACAAGCAAGGTAGCCGCACACTGGTCCGATGATCAAAGAGCAAGAGACAAGAAAGGCGAGGCTCACTGCCATTATCTCTCTGCCCTTCAGTCAATCCTACTTGTGTTTATAGGTCAGGCTGGCACAATAAACTATATCAGCCTCTTTGCTTTTGTCATCGTTATCAACAGCATCAAACCCACCACCATTTAATCAATTCTGATTCATAAACAGACAAAGAAAACAAACTCATGGCTATTGAGTCAATGTTGACTCATTGTGACTGCCTGTGAGTTTCCGAGACTGCCACTGTTTACGGGAGTAGGCAGCCCAGTCTTTTTCCCGAGTAGCTGCCCCAACACATCATCACTATACCACCTGGGCTTCATTGTGATATAGCATAGAGACCCTATATAGGGTTTCTGTGGTAGTTACATAATCTGTTGTCAACTTGAGGCTCAGAGTGAAGGGGTAGAGTTTAGCCTATCAGGTCGCAGCTTGATCTCATTTGGAGGCACTAAGGAGATAAATAACTTGGTGGAGGTGGGACACACATTTACTCTCTATGAGACATGCCGGTTGACAAGCCATATGGAGCTATGCTGATGGCAGCCAGAGCTTTGGAGTTGGAGGAACCGTGTGGAGACCCATACCAGCGCTAAGATGCGTCCACTGCTACTGGATCCACAAGACTTCCCACTCAGTGGCCTGTGATCTACCTGCGTTTGGCGTCATTGTCTATGTTTCATGAGTCTAAAGAGGAATTTATAGACTAGTATTGGACATGTGGGCTAATATTAGACTTATGGACTTGATCTGGACTGGGCTGGGATGTTTCCTTACTTTACAGTTACTCTCTATATAAAGCTCTTTCCTATACACATATGAGTATCTGTGAATTTGTTTCTCTAGTGTACCCAGACTACAATACAATTTTCAAGGCCATGAATCTTTATGGAAAAGTAGTTTCCTCTTCCTTTCTCAGAGTGGCAGGTGAGTTTGTAGTTGGCAATCTGGTGTTTACCTGACAATGCCCCTAGGGAAAGGCCTCCATTATACTTTTTTGGTAACTGAAATAAATTGAAGAGGAGTTTTGCTTTTGCAAAAGAAAAAAAAAAAAGAAAAGCACAAAAAGAAACCAGCAAACTGAAAGGAGGCGACATGCTCCCTGAACATGAGCGTGAGGTCCCTTTAGCTCTTACGTAGGAACCACACTCAGCATCGAGCTGCCGTCGTTTTGAATTGTATCTGTGAGCAGCATATGCGAGTGTTCATTTAGATTTTATGTGTTAGTTGGGGTGATTTTGGTAGGTTATTTTTTGTGGGTCTTGGAATGCTTAAAAAATTTCCCAAATAAATTAATGGTAATTGTTTCCTCGCTTTATACTTAGTGCTTATATAAGTTTTCATAGGAACATTATTTTCAGGTAGTGAGAGAACCTGTCATATTGTGTTAACGCTGATTTGCAACTAGGTGGCAATCCATGATTGGCAAGGTGTGCCATTGACTTTATTTACTTCACACAAGGGAATTAAAGACACATGGGTAGATTAACGCATCAGGCTGGGAAAGGCAAGCTAGCTGTGTAGCTTTCAGAAATTGCTGTGGCCTGAATGAAGGCAGAACATGTTAGTGGGACAAGAGGAAAGTAACAGGACATAGAGGAAAGAAGTAGGAGGCAAAGGACATTTATGGAGGCCTAAATAGAGGTATGTACATATGTAAATATATTTATATATAATGATAGGGAAATAGATCTATGTACATGTATTTATATGTTAAATATTAAGGCAGCAGGCGGACATTGGGCCTCTACTCAAGTGCACCCTCAACACAAGAACACTTTGTTCTAATACCCTGGCATTCGGTGTTGCTCAGCTTCCCTGACATGATTGATTGCTGAAGACCAAATGGGTGCATAAGCAAAAGAAAGCTGATGGTGCCTGACTATCAAAAGATACAGCATCTGGGATCTTAAAGGCTTGAAGATAAACAAGGGGCATCTACCTGAGAAGCAACAAAGTCCACATGGAAGAAGCACACCAGCCTAGGTGATCATGAGATGTTGAAGGGATCAGGGATCAGGCATCAAAAACCTAGAACAAAAAATCATATTGATGGGAATGAGGGGCAAGGCAGAGTAGAGACCCAAAGCCCATCTGTAGACCATTGGGTATCCCCTTACAGAAGAGTCACAAGGAAGAGATGAACCAGTCAGGGTGCAGTATAGCACTGACAAAACATACAACTTTCCCCTAGTCTGCTCCCCCTTTTCCATTTTAATGCCCCCCCCCCCACTATCATGAACCCAATTCTACCTTACAAATACGGCTAGACCAGAGCACGTACACTGGTACAGACAAAAGCTTGCGAGACAGGTAATCCAGGACAGATAAACTCCTTAGGACCAATAATGAGAGTAGTGATATCAGGAGGGGAAGGTGGGGGGAGGAAAGGGGAACCGATGATTGACTGACATGTAATCCCCTCCCAGGGGGACAGACAACAGAAAAGTGGGTGAAGGGAAACAGCGATCAGTGTAAGACATGAAAAAATATATAAATTCTCAAGGGTTCATGAGGTTGGGAGGGGGTAAAAATGAGCTGCTACTAAGGGCTCAAGTAGAAAGAAAATGGTTTGAAAATGATGATGGCAACATGAAAGAGTGTGCTTGACACATGGAAGTATGTATAGATTGTGATAAGAGCTGTAATAACCCCAATAAACTGATTAAAAAAAACGTTGTGGAAATTAATTAGCTAAATTGGTGTGGTAGGAAATGGGCATGCCTGTCGGATGAGAAGTATGCAATGAGAACTGTGAGAAGCCGATGGATCTTGGGATGGTGTAGGCTGAAGAGGGTGAGAAAAATTCATTTGATGTGTTTCATAAGACTTGAGCCAGCTCTTGAAGACTGAAGAACATTTACTTAGGTGAAAAGTCTCTAGGATTTATTCAAGACACAAGGCGGTGGTAGGGAGTGGGTGGCAGTGAGTGTGCAAGTGGTGGGAGGGTGGGCAGGGGAAGCCTCGTCCAGGTGAATTTGTATCAAGGAATGATGGGAGCTAACTAGAAAGAAAGGTGGTTATGAATGAAGTTAGGTAGGGATTTTATTTTAGGATTACTAAAGGGGTGTGTGTATGTGTGTACTTGTGTTTTTTTTTTGTCTGCTGGCAGTTGATTACCATGCTAATGCTAATAATTGTTTAATACTTTTCCAATAAAGAATATCCATAGATGACTTTTCTGTTAAATATAACAGATAAAGAAGTAATTATACACGTTGATGCCGGTTTCTAACATTTGGTGATATTTTATTTTCCCTAGATTAGTTTTTTTCTGTTCATTAGTGGGCATAAAGAGACGAGTGGTAGTGTAGTGGTAGAATTTCCATCTTCCATGTAAGAGACATAGGTTTAGTTCCCAGCTAGTGCACCCATATCTATCCTTGGAAGCTTACATGTTGGCCAGATGCTGAATAGGTTGCGTGGAAGAAAGGTCTGGCACTCTATTTGCAAAAAATTCATCCAATGTAAGCCTTTTGGCTCACTGTGGTCTAATCCTGTTGGTCCCAAGCTTGCTAGGACTCATCAGGGGCCAGCTCAACCCCCGCCATCAGCAATAGCAGCAGTGGATGTAACAGTGGTCAAGAAATCAGCCGGCATAGTACGTGGACAAAACTGCAAAAGGCCTCTTCACAGTTTTTGAGAGCAGTGATAGCACTTTGATGATAATGCTGCACCTAATTCAAACCATGACCTTTTCAGTTACCTTTGTATATGTTGGACAACGAG